GTTCCAAGGCTCCCCATCACAGAGAGTAAGTAAATTCAGAGCCCTTCCCATGACCTATAGGGTCCTGTGGGATCTGGCCCCTCTAGTCCCTGCCTTTCTCACTCGGGATGTTTTAACCACAATATCTCTCATTCCTAAAATGCTCCAGCCATCTTCCAGCTTCAAGACTTTTGCACCAGCTCTTCCCCCTATAACAGTGATGGCGAACCTATGACACGCGTGTTAGAGGTGACACGCGAACTCATTTTTTTGGTTGATTTTTCTTTGTTAAATGACATTTAAATATATAAAATAAATATCAAAAATATAAATCTTTGTTTTACTATGGTTGCAAATATCAAAAAATTTCTATATGTGACACGGCACCAGAGTTAAGTTAGGGTTTTTCAAAAAGCTGACACGCCGAGCTCAAAAAGTTCGCCATCACTGCCCTATAAGTATGCTCTCCTCACCTCCACCTCCATCACTGGCTCCTTTTTTTCATTCAGGTCCCAGCTCATTTGTCACCTTCTTATATTTCAAGTCTCCCTCCCCCCAGCACTCTGGAACACATACTCCTGTTTTTTGATTCCTAGCCCTGTATTTCTCTGTTTGTTTATTTCCTTACTCATAATTCCTCTTCCCTCATAACACCAAAGGCAGAGATCTTGCCAACCTTGTCCATCACTCCAACCCCAGCTCCTAGACCACAGTGGGGGCTCAACTTTTACTGTCAAATGAGTGTCCATGGGCTGGGGACACACTGCTAGTGAATGTCAAAAGTCAGTTAGAGCCCTAACTGGTTTGGCTCAGTGGATAGAGCGTTGGTCTGCGGACTGAAAGGTCCCAAGGTTCGATTCCGGTCAAGGGCTTATACCTTGGTTTTGGGAACATCCCCAGTAGGGGGCATGCAGGAGGCAGCTCATTAAGTTTCTCTCTCATCGATGTTTCTAACTTTCTATCCCTCTCCCTTCCTCTCTGTAAAAAATCAATAAAATATACCTTTTTAAAAAAAGAAAAGCCGGTTAGAATTTAATGATTGGTGAGACTTTGTGAAAAGTTATTGCTGCCCTGGCCAGTGGGGCTCTGCAGTAAGAGCATCAGCCAGAGCATTGGAGGGTTATGGGTTTAATTCCCAGTCAAGGGCACGTATCTAGGTTTTGGGTTCACTCCTTAGCCCCGATCAGGGTGCATGCAGGAGGCAACCAAAGATGGTCACATTGATGTCTGTCTATCTGTCTCTCTCCCCCTCCTTCTCTCCTTCTACTTTCTCTAAAAAAAAAAAAAAGAAAGAAAAAGAAAAAGTTACTGCCTTCTGTCAGCAGCAGGCTTGTGTTACACAAGTGGATGATGCCTCCTGGTCTAGAATGAGCCCCTAGATCAGGAATAGCATATACTGTGCGGTTGTTATCCGCAGGCCACATTCCTGATGCCTGGCCCATCCTCTATCCTCAGCCCCAAAATGCTAGGGGGTGTACGGGGAGAGGAGGGCAAAGACCTCAGCTCCAGGAATACCCTTCCCATGATATCCACACCCCCAGCTTACCCAGCTGACTCCTGGAAAGCTTGGGGTTGAGTGGGGGCCCGGGGCCAGGGACAATTTTTCTTTCTGGCTACTCTCCTAAAGCCAGAGAAGGGCCTTAGGAGAGTAGTCCTGGCATCTAGCTCCTGAGATCCCTGTCACCAGCCCCACAGCCCAGCAAGCGAATCAACCTTTCAAGCCACTAGGCTCTCACCCCATTCAAAACGATAAAAATAAATGCAAACAGTGTAATTCTGAGGGCTGAGCAGGAAGTGACAATCATAACAGTAACAGCTAACATAATTTGAGCAATTACTGTGTATTTGATGCTCAACTTGTAATCTCTCATGGAACCCACAGCACAGTAACATGAGATTAAAATCATTACCAATGATCACTGCCCCCCAGCTCAGATAGGAGGAAACTGGAGCCCAGAGAAGTTAAGTATCTTGCCCAAGAGCAAAGCTAGAAAGCAAATTGTTTGTTTCAAGGACAAGCAAACCAAACCAGTGTTCCTACCATAGTCAAATGACTCTCTGGGCTTGAGTCCTTTAAGTGTAAAAGTTGCCCAGCCAGCATGGCTCAGTGGTTGTGTCGACCTATAAACCAGGAGGTCGAACCTATAAACAGGTTCGAGTCCGGGTCAGGGCACATGCCCAGGTTGTGGGCTCAATCCCCAGTGGGGAGCATACAGGAGGCAGCTGATCAATGATTCTCTCTCATCATTGATATTTCTATCTCTCTCTCCCTCTTCCTTCCTCTCTGAAATCAATAAAAGTATATATTAAAAAAATAAATGTAAAAGTTATGGGAGGTGGGTGATAGTCAAGAGTAGATAATCAGAATCATCTCTTTGTGCTCAAAATTTGCTTTTCTAATAGGTGGTGATCTTTCTGGCAATTTGGTTATTTCTAGATTTTTACTGAAAATTTTCTAACTTTCAAGGGGTCTTACACCAACTCTCAGAGGCCTGGCCCAGGAAAATTCCCTGCAGAAGTGAACCCCCTGCCCTAGCCTTGTGTTAAATTCTCAGGGGTGGGGAGGGGGAGCGTTAGGAGCGCCTGAAATGCGATCCTTCTCCTTGAAGTTTGATTGATTTTAAACGTGGCAGTTTGGCCCTGGCTGGTATGGCTCAGTGTGGTGAGCGTCATCCTGTGCACCGAAAACTCACTGGTACAATTCGCAGTCAGGGCACATCCTAGGTTGCGGGTTTGATCCCCGGTTGGAGTGCCGATGGGAGGCAGCTGATTGATGTTTCTCTCTCTCCCCCTCTTCCTTCCTCTCTTAAAAAAATGAAAAATCAGCCCTCGCCGGTTTGGCTCAGTGGATAGAGCTTCGGCCTGCGGACTCAAGGGTCCCAGGTTTGATTCCGGTCAAGGGCATGTACCTTGGTTGTGGGCACATACCCAGTGGGGAGTGTGCAGGAGGCAGCTGATCAATGTTTCTCTCTCATCGATGTTTCTAACTCTCTATCCCTCTCCCTTCCTCTCTGTAAAAAATCAATAAAATATATTTTTAAAAAATGAAAAATCAATAAAAACCTATTAAAAAAGATTTTTTAAAAAGTGGCAGTTTGCACATAGCCACTCAGCTCTGCTGATGTTAAACTTCAAAGCAAGATGGAGGCTAGGGAAAGTGGACTTGGCCTGGCTGGCTTAAAAAAAAAATTCTTCCCCAAGCTGGCAGCTCTTGTCGTCTGGCAAAGCAGTCCCTTGATTCTCCTCTAACAAATGTGGAACACTCACTTCCCCTTCCCTCTGACCTCAGTGACTGCTCCCTCCTGCCCACGTGGCCCTGGAGGCTGGTACCTCCTCAGTAACATGTGACCCAACTGACACCAACTTGACTGACACAAAAACATGTGTCTCCCCAAGAGAAGAAGCCTAATAAATCTAAGAAACTTCCTCAGGCACCATTTGCTACCCGTTCCCAGAAAGGGAGACCAGGATGGGCAGAACAGCTAGGAATGGTCCCACCTGGTCTAAGACAGCAGCCCCCAGAGAATCAATCAAGTTTCTGTTCCTCTAACTCAGTCATTCAAGATCACTCTTCCCTACCATCAGCTTCGATTTTTGCAAATCAAATCTTCCAGGCTAAAGCCATACTCCTGGCCCACAGCTTCTCCATGAAACTTTGCCTCCTCTCAGAGAGAGGGCAGATCTCGGGGGAAACAGCAGGGTTGAAATTGAAACCAGCTAATAGTTAATCTATCAAACACATTCAGAAACAGTAGATGGGGTAAAAGTTCAAAGATGAACCCTAGAGAAAGTCTTGAAAAGAATTAGGAATCCTTGAAATGCAAAAAAAAGGGGGGTTCTCCCCATTTTACAGGATGAAAAACTGAGGACTCAGCAGCTATGGCTGGCACTGAGTCCTGGGGACAACTAGGGAGGTTTCTAAAGAGAAAAGGCACAGGTGGCCTACCACCGCCTGGGAGAGCGGTAAGGCCCCGCGACAGCTGCCCCACCCGGTTCCAGGGTGCACAGGACGGCCCCGCCTACACCTTAAGGCTTGGCCCCGCCCACCGACCTCGGCCCCGCCTCGCCCCTCCTTAGCTCCTATTGGCCCAACCTCCCGAGACCCGCCCCTCCACACCTCCTCCCCGCCGCTGGAGCCCCGCCGTCCTCCCCGGCCCGCCACCCTGGCCGTCCGGGTTACCTTGGCTTCTCCCCACTTCTGTCCGCAGAAGGGCTTTCCAGAGGTCTCGGAGGCGATGTTGGGAGGGGGACAGAACCTGCCGGGGTCCCCGGGCCGGGTCGGGGATCGGGGTGGGGGTGGGGGTCGGCCGGGCGGTTGTTGTTGTTGACTCGCGTTGCCGGGTTGCTTGGTCGCCACGACTACCGTGGCTATGGCGCCTCCGTTTCCCTCACCGGGGCAACTGTTGCTACCCACCCTACTTACGTCACGGGCAAGGGCGGGGTCCCGGGTGATTGGCGACGCCGGGAGGAGTGATTGGACAGTGCTGGGCCCTGCTGCTAAGCTATTGGTCCTAATGCACGCTTTTCAACACCCTCTTGACTTTCCGGCGATCTGATTAATCGGCAGGAATGTCCATCAAAGGAAACTGAAACCTCAAAGGCAGCAGAGCCCGTCATTCCCGCAAGGAAGCAGCGGCAAGAATAAAGGGGTGGGGCCTATGGCTTGCGGCTGTAAAACTGCCCTCTGTTTCGACTAAAAGGACGTCAATCTCCCCTAAAGGTTTGCCGCGCTCTCTAACTGGAGGCCGCGAGCATGCGCAGCACGCAAGGCTAGCTGGGAGTGGTAGTCCGCTCCTGTGTACTAAAAAACGTCTTACCAAATACAAGGGTGAGGAAGAAGAGAGCGCTCTCTTCAGACGTCTCCTTTCCCCCGTGGGCCAGTTCATGGCCTCCCGCACTAAAGTCACGAGAGGAATGAGGTGACGCAGCCCTGCTCGTTTGTGACGCTAGCGGC